GTGAATGGAGAGCAAAAAAAATGGGTGGCTCAAATTCGAAAGCCGCGCCGGAATGGCGTTACATAGATACAAGTATTGTTTTCATCATCCCCGGAAGAGGAAGAAGAAGGGGCAATTACTGAGGCCAATTCGTACTTAAGCTGATGTTTCGAAAACATTATCGCTTTCATCGTCAGAGCATAGGGTCTATTCTCCTGCTCGCGTCGAATGAGTGTGTTTGACCGTCAGATGCGTGTCATAACTGCGCCTGATGCTCGTTTGTCGATCAATTGTACCGATCGATTGCTGGTGGCTGTTTGAATTGTTCTCGCCCTCGTGGGCGCCTCCCTGAGATGTATCACGTTGTTCTGAGCGTGTACACCTCCGCTCACGGCTGCCTTGCGTATCTTCTTTTGCCCGACTTATTGCTCCGTTCTGAGCAAATGTTAGCCTTTTGCGGAGTGCTTGTTAGGTGCGGTAGTACCCTTCGATCCTTCAAAAGTATGCCAACGACGGCTAGTAAGCCGGAACCGGTCATTCCGATCTCCTAGTCTGTGCCACAGTTGCTATCACATTATTCTTCTTTCTCTTCCGGGGATGATGAAAGCAATATTATATGTGGACCCCGAATATTTGCGCATAGATACAAGTCCCGTCTAGAAGGGGGGGTGTTCTCTCATGTCCGTTCGATCTCCGATGGGTGAGCGCAGCGCTAGGGGCTACTGCTGGGGCTGGGCGTGTGAGTGCTGACACAGAGCGAGGGGGAACGATACGAATACGACGGCGACATGTCAGCCGTTGTGAAGGGAGACGGGTACCAGCATCATCGCAGACACTTGATCACATCACTTCCATCCTGGGGTTGTGTCAAAAGTGTCAGCCTTGGTATATTTAAACAACAATTCAGTCTCCTGGGTCGTCACAAAGCAGCTCAACCCCACTATTGACCTGTGTTCGCGCCATCACGCGCCATATTGATTGGGTTCTCATTTAAACTACAAACACGCCCACTTACCATTGCAGCGGTCTCTGCAGCCACAGTCCTCCCGAAGCGTCAGTATAAAGCAATGTTCAAATGGCCTTATCGTTTCCATCTACTGCTTACCCTCTTCGTGACCCGTGGCTTTCAACTGAGCTTCACGGATCAGGAGTACATTTTGCAGCTTCACTCCAACGTCCGCAACAATCTGAGCCCCCCACCTCGTGAAATGTATATCCCTGTCTATTCGTTGGAACTAGAGGAG